TTTTAAACTGTTTGAGACATCCTTTCTGCTTGAACTGCCACTGTGTCAATCCACCGCACTGGGGGTTTCCTCTTTTTCATTGACCCTCTATGTACCAAGCATGAGGTTCTTCTCCAAGGACTGGTCCCTCCTGATAACATGTCCAAAGTATGACAAAGTCTTGTGATAATTTCTTCACATTATTATCCATATCTTTTCATGATCCACACAGTCAAAAACCTTGGCATAGTCAACAAAGCACAAGTAAACATCTTTCTGGTATTCTCTGTTTTCAGCCAAGATCCATCTGATGTCAGCAATGATAAGCCTTGTTCCATATTCTCTTCTGAAAACAGTTTAAATTTCTGGTAATTCCCTCTCACCATAGTGTTGTAGCCATTTTTTAATTCCCTTCAGCAAATTTTTACTTATGTGTGATGTTAATGAGATTGTTTGATGATTTCTGCATATTGTGGGCACAAATATGGATCTCTTTATATCGGTTGGCAACGTAACTGTATTCCAATTTTATATATTTATTTATTCTTTGCATAGGTGAGTGAACTTTCCAGTGCTTCATCAGTTTGTTGAAAGATTTCAATTTGTATTTGGTCAACTCCTAGAGCTCAGTATTCGCCTATGCCTTCAGTGCAGCTTGCACTCTTTCCTTCAGTACCATCAATTCTTGATCATATGCTACTTCTTGGAGGTTGAACCTAATCATTTCTTTTTGGTATAGTGGCTCTTCCATCTTCTTTTGATGCTTTCTACATCATTCAATATTTTGCCCATTGTTATTGTTGTTGTTAGGTACCATCGAGTCAGTATCGACTCATAGCAACCCTATGCGCAACAGAACGAAACACTGCCTGGTCCTGGGCCAACCTCACTATTGTTGCCACGCTTGAGACCATTGATGCTTGCCATATTGCCAATCCATCTTGCTGGGAGTCTTTCTCTTTTTTTCTGATCCTCCACCAAACATGATATCCTTCTGCAATGACTGGTCCCTCCTGATAATATGTCTGAAG